TGAGCGCCGTCCACCGCCCGCTTGGCGTTACTTACCTCGTCAGTCCACCGCCGCGGCCGGTCGCTCGACGGCGTCCCCGACACGCCGCCGGCGCCGCCGCCGCCGCCGCCGCCGACCGGCCGGAAAATCGATCCTGGGAGCGGGGTGCGCGCCCCGCGCGGTCGTCGGTCGATGGCCGGGCCACCAGTGGGACAGCGGAGCCGGGCCCAGTCGGCCGCCCCCGCCACCACTGCGGCAGTGCGGTCCGGGGGCGGCCCACGCTCTTCGGCCGGCACAATGGAGCCGTCCGTCGAGACTAGACCGGGGAGTGCCTGCCCGTGTCCTGCGAACGACTGTGGAACACGCGGGCGGTACAATGTCGGTACCTAAAGCGTTTCCCCATAGGTTGTGAACTTGCAGCTAAATCACCCCTCGGTTTACGGCTTCAATACATATGCAGATGTTTCATATTCAAAGCCATATCCAAAGGTGATTTTTCAAACTTGTTCACTTCCCGGTGTGCCTGGAAGAACCAGCGCCATGAGCTAGGACAAGATTTCTGGGTCTCCACGTCCATAGATGACTGGGATCCATCATCCCCTAATGAGCCCCAGCACTATTCTCCGCCTCCTTTCGAGATCACGGGTGACGAGCTTGTCGGTGGTCTCACGTCTCCCATGGCTGAGGAGGGGGGAGAAAAAGGAGAACGATTCAGCCACCGCCCCCGCGCGCCAGTCGGGGCTGCGGGGGGGGGAATCGGGAGAACGGTGCAGCCATCACCCCAGCACGCCGGCCGGAGGCTGCGGGGGGGGGGGAGGAGTGAGGAGAACGGTGCAGCCACTGCCCCCGCACGCCAATCAAGAGCTGCGGGGAGAGGGGAGTCGGGAGAACGGTGCAGCCACCATCCCAGCACGCCTGTCAGGAGCTGCGGGGGGGAGGGAGTCGGGAGAACGGTGCAGCCACCACCCCAGCACGCCGGTCGGGAGCTGCGGAGAGGGATCGGAAGCTGTGGGGGGGGGGGGGGAGTAGGGAGAACGTTGGGCGCAGCTACCACCCCAGCACGTCTATCGGGAGCTGCGGGGGGAGGGGGGGGGGAGTCAGAAGAACGGTGTAGCCACCACCCCAGCACACCAGTCGGGAGCTACGCTGCCGCTGCTGCCGCATGCCTTGCTGAATGAGCGCCATGGTTTACAACCAAACAGTACAGCTGAAAAGCGTACAAGAGGCTGTTAACATCCGTTTCTAACATGTGGCCGCATGCCAAAGAAGACGTTTATGGACCGCATGTTCCACACGAACGTATACATTATGACATGTATTGATGTCGTTCAGGTATAAATAACTTAATCTAAGAGCGATATGATCCGATAAGATTCGCGATGCACGCATTGATCATTTGCATTGCCAATGCCGTCTTTTCACGCACTATCTCGAAAGGCACTGTCACGTGTTGGAGTTGGCTTCGCGTGTTTTTAGAGCTATCGTCGTGCACAATCCATTATAAAGTGCCCTAAAGGTTTCTGTGCTATGCACAATGCACGATTGTTTGTGTGATTAATGAGAGCTTAATATAAAGGCGAAAGAGCGTCACAGAAAGAGGTGTGCCAATATTAATTTCAAGCCTTTCCATGCGTCTCCAGAGCATTCTCGGAAAGTCGGGGTGCCATGACACCCACAGAACCCCTTTCTTTCTACGCCTCTGCCATAATGCGACCTGAAACAAGTTGGTATGTGATATGTCAGCCTTCTGTCGGCAGCCATATGTCAGCCACATGTCAGCCTTGTGGCAGCAGCTGAACATTTATCTAAAGAAGGGCACCTACGTCAACCCAATAAGATTGTAGCGTGGTTCTCGCCCACATGAGGCTGTGGAACCTCACTTTAGTACGTTGTGCACCTTCAACGCGTGGAAAGTAAATTTTGGATATACAGGATCAAAAGTAACCTTTATTTTACGGTCAACAGATAATATCCGTACCGGAGAGCTCGACGCAGCCCATAAGGCAACGGAAGGAGCTCGAATCCCTACGCTGGTGGCGCCGACTGCGGTCACAGGTCCTCAGCCTGTGGCGCCACCTGTACTCGTCCGGGATAGCCAGCTCTCCTCAAGCGTGAGTAGCGTATGCTACGCGGGAAGTACAAGCCTACTGTAAAAGCGCACCCCAGGCTGCTTCAGGTTGAGTCGCTGATCTCAAATTTATGCTTTTTCGGTCCATTTAATTGCAGAATCATTTTCGTCAGGAGCAGCGCCACGGATTTTGAGTCGGGGGGGGGGGGGGGGCAGGATTCACAGGGGGCCTCCTGGACAAAGTGGGGCCTCCTCACAGCGGGCGTCCTGGGCAGTGTCATTTCCGAGAAGGAAGGTACGGAGGGCATATGCTTCTGAATCAAACTGCTCCACGCATCATATCCGAGAAAAAACGCTGAAAATTTTTAAAAAAACTGAAAATCAGGCCCCCAACAGAATGGGGCCTACTTATGATCCAGAAAATGGCTTCAGTAAGCTAAAACAGGGCCGCCTGGTGCAAACAGGGGCCTCGTAAGACAGAAAGGAACATTTCCGACTCACGGGGGGGGGGATTTCCAAAAAAACAGGGCATCTTGATTCAGAACTGCAGCCCTCTGGCGCATGAGGTGGCCCCCCTGAATATAGAGGGCGCCTTCTAACCGTGGGCGGTGTCTCCTAGTTTGTAATGAGGCCTCCGAAACCGGCAAAAAGGCTTTCTTTACACATCATTGGTCCCTCTGATCTAGAGCATGGGCTACCTTGCTCATGGAGGTGGTCTCATGATCTGCAAAGCAGGCCTCTTGATGTAGGAAAGGTCTTTTGAGCCCAATTTATCGCGCTTTAGCTCAGTTATGGGGGCTTCCTTGATCTGAGTTTTGGCGATCTAGGGGTAGTTACAATTCCCTTAACTAAGGAAAAAGGGGTTTCTCCACGGTTTTTTTTTGGGGGGGGGGGGGGCAAAAAATACTCTTGTCCCACTGATTGCTGGGAGGTGGGTATCTATGCTGCTGTATGCTCTATCCCCTTTGCTGCACCGGCCCTGTTTTCTATATCGACAGTCCTAGAGGTCAAGAAGCGGAGTCTCACCAAGTGTCAGTGGTGCTGCTCCTTGTTGCATCCTTTTCTGGAAGGTGCGGTGACGACTTGAGCGCAATGCAGCGTTTGCAAATGCTGAGCATTACTCCGCTGTAGCTACATTCATTGTCGAAAGGTTCTGAGACGGACCTCAGCTGTTCGTATATTTGTCGGCGTGTTAAGAACAATTCCAGTTGTTATATTCGGAAGTCAGGTGTTTGGAGGAGATCAAGAGGGACTTCGACGCCCTAAATGTAATCAACACAACTTGAACCAGAATTTTAGGTCGTTCAGAGGACAAGTCTTTTTGTGAAATGGCACTCAAATCCAGATCCTGGGTGAAATGCACTGCCCATTCCCATTAACTTAAAAAAGACTGGAAATCGATTGGCTCGAACAAGCTGTTCAGTTATTTTTTCATCTTTCCAATTTGCAATGGCCGTTTTCTACCACGATAGCGTGTGGCTTTTGCGGACTGCTACATTTGGAAACACAAATGTTGTTTTCACATGCCAAAGCTTCTAGACGCATTTTAATCCTGTGTTGAAGCAGATTTGTGTTGCGCGGTATTGTAGTTCATCGACTCTCGAAGTTTTATGTGCACTTGCTTTTCACTACGTTAAGTTACGATTGCTTACATTTTAGGCATTTTGATTTAGGCCAACACGCCGCATAAAAGCGGCATTCCTCTTGCACTATAAATATTGCAATTTACCCAACTGTTTTTTGGCTCAATATATATATATATATATATATATATATATATATATATATATATATATATATATATATGGCATGCCAAGGTCAATAGGAACTTGTTCTTCAAGTTCCTATTGACCTTGCAAACGATGCTGCCTGGAAATACCCCAAAAAATGTCGTCTTACAAACTGCGTCTGAGCTAATGGTGTCTATGGCATTGTTCTGCATGTAGAGAGCAGGGAAGCTTGAGATGAAAGAGAAGACAGCAAAGTGGCACTCAAAGAGAAATAGCCCATTCGCAGAACTAGTGCAGCACGGGCTGGGCGTGAATCCATTCGCTCGACGGTTTCGAATCAGCGCTCTCCGAAAAGGCAGGCGTGGTAACTGTTCAGACACAGCCGGCGGCAAAACAACACCGGTGGCGTCCAGAAGCCGACGAGTGATGTTGCGGCGAATGCATGGTATGTATTGGCAATTGCATGCATTGCAATGCCATGCAACGCATTGACATCGTGATGTTGCATGCAAAGCATGCATTTAGCACTTGATTTGGAATTACGCTTCATCTTGACACAATCTGTTTCCCGTGTAGATGATAATAGAGGAATGTAAAAAATAGAAGAGAGTAATAAAAATAAAAGAAAAATAGAGGAGAATGAGAAAAATGCTAGAAAAATAAAAAAGATCGATAAAACACCTTAAAAACATAAATAGAACTATCACTATGGTAATACAACTATATAACGCCAGCCGGCTGTTATCAATGATCCCCAGCTTAGCTTTGTCCACTACATACAGAGATTCGGTATAGATTTCATTGCACCAACTTTTAAACAAGAATACACCCCAGCCAAGTCAAACTTGCAGTAAGTTGGTGCTTATGAAAATAAAACAGAAATGGCTCTCTTATTTTGTGATACAGATACGTATGTATCGAGACAGAATGCAACCAAAGTTTATGTTAACACACACAAACTTAAAAGGAACCGCATGGCAGTGGGCGGAGTGTTTCCATGGAGGCCTAGACCGGTTGCGTCCGATGCTCATCAGCAACGGTTTTACAAACAATGACTTTGACCATATCACGAAATCCTTGGAAGATCACTCCCTCAAAAATGAAAGACAAAATAATGCCCGTCGTGATCGTCGTAAAACGCTGAAGCTTTTTACAAAACTGCTATGAATATGTCTTGAAAAAGCAATCTGAAAGTATTGCGTGGCATTGCCCTCAAACACTGC